ATGAATAATAAAAGAAAAATGAAAAAAAAAAAAAAAAGAGAGTGTTGGAGATGAGGTTCAATGTGTGGGAACAGGGAAAACCAAGAGAAGCAACAAAGATGGTAAAGTCTGCTCTCACCACTATCATCTGCTTTAAATGCTACTAGAAAAGTTCTTATAAGGTGTGCCAACTCCCCTTTCATTTAAAGAAGATACCATAAAATTCACCCATGTTAAATATACCAATTGAATAATTTCAGTGTATTCACACAATTGTGCAGCCTCATCAAAATCTTAACTTTAGAACATTTTTTTATCCCAGAATTGTTACCTGTTAATTATCATTTTCATCTACCCCACTTCCAGCCCTAGGCTACCACTAAGTATACCACTTTTGTATTTATATAAGTATACCACTTTTTATATTTATAGATTTGCCTTTCTGAGCATTTCATGTAAGTACACAATATGTGGTTTATGTGCTTTTTTATTTTTTGAGAAAGGGTCTTGCTAGGTAGCTCAGGCTGGCTCAGGCTTACACTCCTGCCTCAGCATCCTGAGTGCTAGGATGCCGTCCAGTCTTTTGTGACTAGCTTTTTTTGCTTAGCACAATGTTTTCAAGGTTCATCCTTGTTGTACCATGTATCAAGACTTTGAGTGAACAGTATTTAATTATGTGAACATAGGACATTTTGCTTACTCATCAGTATAAAACTAGTCTGCAGGCAAAAATTATTTAGGTCAAAATATCATAAGAGTAAAACCTTGAAATTGAAGAAGAGGGTAAAGATTTAGCCGGGGATGTAGCTTAGTGGTAGAGTGTTTGCCTAGCATGTGTGAGGCCTTGAGTTCCATCCCCCGCACTGGGAAAAAAAATTACTGAAAAAATATAAACTGAACAGAAGTTGTTAAAAAGGAAGCATAAAAAGGTTTGTATAATAATCTTAGTGAATAGATTTTTAAATTAAATATACCATAGATTATTACTTGTTAGTTATAATAGTACATTCTGGGTGACAAGTGCATTATCCTCATGTCTTCAGTAATTGACCTTTCCTTTTTGTGACAGGAAACTCTGAGTACACTGGAATATGCTCATAGAGCAAAGAACATATTGAATAAGCCCGAAGTTAATCAGAAACTCACTAAAAAAGCTCTTATTAAGGTAATTGTGAATTTTTGTGGAGTAATGTAATCTTGTTTGACACGTGAATTTAAGGAACAGAACTAAATCAGTATTAAAAAAGATTTGTTAAATTGACTATGATAGACTTTTTTTTTTTTTTTTGTGGTGGTGATGGTGCTGCTACTGGGGGTTGAACTCAGGGTCTTGTGTCTGCCAGGCAAGCACTCTACCACTGAGATTCATCCCTGTGCGACAGGCATTTTTTGTTACTGTTTTTGAGATGGGGTTTCATGGGCTCAGCAAAAGGTGTATTTTCCCTTCCAGTCATTATTCTTTGTGTGTGTTTTGCTGGGATCAAACCCAGGGCATTGAACATGCTAAGCAAACACTTCCACTGAGCTCTGCTCTCAACCCCTGTGGCCTTGTGGTAGGCATTTTGTCTAGTGATTTAAACTAAATGCTTGATATGTTAAGATGTTTTTTTCTAATGCTCATGTGTTTACCAGCTTTATAACTCGGTTGGTATCCTTGGCAAAATTTGCGTTTATTTAATTATAAATTCTGTTTATTTGCATCTTTGAGTTGTAATTTACATACCAAAACATTTGCTTATTGTAAGCATTTACTCATTTATGCAGTGATTTCTAGTACATTTACAGAGTTCTTCAACATACCACAATCTAGTTTTAGAAAAAAATTTTGTTTTTCTTTTTGTTGGGACTGGAGTTTGAACTCAGGACTTTAAGCTTGCAAAGCAGGCTCTCTATTAATTGAGCCACACCTCCAATCCATTTTTGCTTTGGTTATTTTGCAGGTGGGATCTCAAGAACTATTTGCAACGTTAGAGGTTGGCCTCTAACCGTGATCCTCCTGATTTTTGCTTCCCAAGTAGCTAGGATTGACCACTGGTGCCTAGCTTTAGTTTTAGAAACTTTTGATCATCATAGCTTCCCTTTGCTCCCTTTTAGTCAGGGGCCTTTTTTGCTTTTAGTTATTTTTCAGGTAGGGTCTTGAGTTTTTGCCTGGGCTGGCCTCAGTGTATAGTTGGGATCACGGGCTCAAGCCACCCTGCCCAGATTTTTGATGGAGATTGGGTTTCTCCCTTTTTGTTCTGACTGATCTTCAACCAGGATCCTCCTAACCTCTGCTTTCCCAGCCTCCCTAGTAGCTGGAATTAGAAGTATGAGCCATCAAACCCAACTCACTGATCTGCTTTCTGCTCATAGATTTGTGTTTCTTTTATATTTCCTATAAATAGAATAAATAGAACCATAATATTTGGCCTTTTGCACCTAGCTTTTTTTTTTGGTAATGGGATTTGAAGTCAGGGCTTACACCTTGAGCCACTCTACCAGCCCTTTTTTATGATGGGTTTTTTCCACATAAGGTCTCACAGAACTTTTGTTTGGGCTGGCTTCGAACCATGATCTTCCTGATATCTGCCTCCCATGTAGCTGGGATTACAGGAGTGAGCCACCTGACTGTACCTAACTTTTTTATTTAAACATTTGAGGTTTAATTTATGTTAACTTTTATCAATAGTTTGTTTCTTTTTGTTGCTGAATAATATTTACATTACATGAATAATATTATATTTTGTTTATACATTCACCAGTCAATGGACATTTGGATCATTTCTGCAAATGTCATAAGGATCCTTCTGATAACAATTTCCTCCTTGTCACCCCTTAACCTCCCCTCCCTAATCATTGTTAACCACTAATCTGTTCTCTATAGAACAGATATAGAGTCTTGTCATTTCAAAAGTGTTAAAGAAGGGAATTGTATAGCATGTAAACTTTTGGGACTGCATTCTTCTAGTTTACATAATTCTCTGGAGACTCACCTAATTTGTCATGTGTATCAATAGGCCTTTTTAGTACTGAGTAATAGTTTATGGTATATAAGTGATGTGTAACCATGCACCGGTTGAATTCAGTTTTTTGCTATTACAAATGATACTGTTATTAACATTAATTTATAGGCACTTATGTAAGCACAGATTTTCATTTCTTTGGGGTAATTGAGAGTCCATTTTCTGGGTTGTATGTAATTGAACATTTCATTTTTTAAGGAACTGCCAAATGCCGTTAGAGTGACTGTTCAGTTTTTCATTTCGACTAGCAACGTGTTTCTCTACATCCATACAGCATTTGGTGTTGTAACTACTTTTTATTTTAGCTATTCTGATATGTGTGATAGGTGTTAAGTATCTCACTGTGGGTGAGCTTACATTTCTCTACTTAGTGTTGTTAAGCATTTTTTCATGTGCTTATTTGATGTTTGTTTATACTGCTTGATGAAATGTCTGTCTATGTCTTCAGACTCATTTTCTAATTGGATTTTTCTTTTATTCTTGTGATTTGAGACTTCTCAATATATTCTCTATACTACTACTTTGCTGCATACAAAGGTTTGCAAATATTTTCTCCCCACCTGTAGTATGTCTTCTCATCGTCTTCACACAGGCTTTTTCAGAGTGAACGTTTTTCATTTCATTTTCAAAGTGAACGTTGTCCACTTTGTCAATTTTCCACATATTTGTGTGGGTCAACTTCTGAGGTCTCTGTTTTGTTCTGTTGACTTATTCATCTGTCCCTCTGCCAGTATGCCCAGTTTTAATGACTAGCTATGTAATAACTCTTGTAACTGGAAAGACAGTTTAAGAGGAAGTTTATTTTGAGTATATTTAAAGGAGATTTGAAGACTATTCAAAGATGCTTCTGAACAAATTGATACTAAGAGTAGAACTGTAACTTTTTATCATACTTTTTTATGTTTGAAAAAATAAAAAGCTAACTTTGTTTTATTTGTTGCATATGCTCCCCAAGCTGAATGAAAAAAAAAAAAAAGTACTAAATTGACATCTGCAACATTCCTCTTTTGTAGGAGTATACAGAAGAGATAGAACGTCTGAAACGAGATCTTGCTGCAGCCCGGGAGAAAAATGGAGTGTATATTTCTGAGGAAAATTTTAGGTAAGCATTTGGTTATGGAGTTAATTTCCAAGAATAAAGCTTCTGATTTTATTTTTTTGAGGCAGGGTCTCATTATGTAGCCCAGGCTGGCCTGGAACTCATGAATTTCCTCCCTCAGCCTTCCAAGTGCTAGGTTTACAGACATGTGCCACCATGCCTGTAATAAGCATTTTCTCTTTGCAGATTGAAATAAAATTCACTTATATAGCAATTTGTAAAATATATTTAGTACTTATAAATGCTTCTTTTTTGTGTTGATCGGGTTTGAACTCAGGACTTACACCTTGAGCCAGTCAGTGAGCCCTTTTTGGTGATGGACTTTTTCAAGACTGTTTTGCCCAGGTTGGCTTCGAACCACAATCCTATTGATCTCTGCCTCCTGAGTAGCTAGGATTACAGCATGAGCCACCAGCGCTCCACCTCTCTTTTGGTTTTGACATTAAGAAGTTATCAAAGCTGGGCATGGTGAGGTGCATCTATAATCCCAGCACTCAGGAGGATAAAGTAATAGGACCCCAAGTTTGAGGCCAGCCTGGGCCAGGCCTGTCTGGACAGCAGGAAAACCTTACCCTGTCATTCCAGCTACTGGGAGGTAAAGATTGGGAGGGTTAAGATTTTAGGCCAGCCTGGGCAAAGAAGTTAGTAAAATCTCCACCTCAACAAATATGCTGAGTGCAGTGGTTTAAGTTTATAAACCAATCTAAGTGGGAGGTATACATAGGAGGACAGCAATCTAGGGCCAAACCCATGGGAAAAGTGAGACCTTACTCACATAAAATAAAGCAAACAGAATGCTCGGGGTGTGGCTCAGGGCTAAAAGGCCTGCTTAGCAAGTATAAACCCCAGCACCTAAAAATAAAAGTAGTTACCAAACACTTTTTAGAAAATCTTTCATGGAACTTTTGTATTTGTAATTATTGATTCATGTGAGATTGCAAGAAGAGACAGAGCTGTCTATGTACCGTTCACCCAGTTTTCTGCTTGGAGACTACTCTGGCTGCTGCTATTCAATTAGAGTGGGTGTAGAGTTGAGGATCCCACTGTTCACTATGTAGATTTTCACTCAAATGCCTGTTTGCAGATCCTAATTACTCCTGCTCAATTGAGTATGTGGTGAGAAGGAAACTTGAACTTCTCAGGTATTTACTGTGGACTAGCGACTCTCAAAAATGAGGGAAGGTTGCCCTCTAGTGGGAATTCAGCAATATGCTGACACTTTTTAGGGGCTGGTTATCACTGGCAGGAGTACTGCTGGCATCTAGTGGCCAGAGAGCAGCCATATTACTAAGCATTCTAAAATGCATAGGCTGTCCCCACAACAAAGAAGTGTCTGGTACAAAATGTCTGTTCTGCCCAGGCAATATGTGGTGCCATGACAGTGATTGTTATATTAGGAGGATGTCCTGTGCAGGTGTGTGTGTGTTGGGGGGTAGGAAGGAATGTGGATATTGCTCTATGTATATACCTTAATTCAGTCTTCCCAGTGTTTTTAGCACTTAACTCACCCCTTCCTCTTGTAATGCCTCATGAATGACTTCAAGTCTTAGCATTTAGCATTTAGAGGGAAGGGGACAACTTTATAATCTGATTACAGACACTTAGATTGTATCCCTTTATTCTACGTTAAGTGAGATGGAGTTCTCTGTAAGCTTTCTAGCTCAAAAAGCATATTTTTATTGTGCTAGAGATTGAATGCAGTCTCCTGCATGCAAGGCAAGCAGCTACCACTGCTGTCCTCCCTCCACCCTTACCTATTCAAATTCAATAGACACACCCTTTCCCCTCAGACAGAGATTCTCTCTTGCAGAATGGAGGGTTTTTTGGGTTTTTTTTTTATGCCCATTTAGAAACAAACTTGGAAAACATTGCTCTTTGCAATTTGCATTTATTGCTTATCAACATTTAGGTACTATTATGATGGTGATAAGGGTGGAGACTTGTTTGTGTAATGCCATATTTGTGTTATCTTGTAACATTTTGTAGGATTTAGAAAAAATACTAACTGTTAAATTCATATTAAACTTTATTTTAGAGCCATGAATGGAAAATTAACTGTTCAAGAAGAACAGATTGTTGAATTGGTTGAAAAAATTGGTGCTCTTGAGGAGGAGCTAAGTAGGGTAAGCATTCAAAACAGTATTCAATGTTGTTTGAAAAGCAAATATTAAAAGAAAATTGTAGAATGTGAAGGACCAGATATTTTTTCTCTTAAAAGGTATTTTTTCATATTAACTCTTATACAGAAAGTAAGTTATAATTTTATTGTCATCAATGATAATGAAAAAGCTTTGACGCTGTAATTTAATACATTACCAGAAAGTATACTTTCTGGTATACTGTATTTCAGGTGCTGCTTAATAACTGGATGTGCTCTGAGAAAGGTGTTAAGTGATGCCATCATTGTGCTAACATCATACAGTGTACTTACACAAACCTACAAAGTCTACCACATACTTTGGATATATGATACAGTTTTTAAAATTTTTTTTGTTTTATATTTTAAACTATTGTATTAAAAGCTAGGGCATAGACATACACATCAGCCTGGCCTACACAGAGTCAGATCATCAGCACCACTGCCTCACCTCCATGTCTAACTCACCGGTGCTGTCCTCTCCTTTGATAACATGCCTCTGCCTCCTATAGGGCCTGCCTACGGCTGTTTCACAGTTAACTTTTTGTGGTTTGTTTTGATGGGACTGGGGTTTGAACTCAGGGCTTCATGCTTGCAAAGCAGGTGCTCTACCACTTGAGCCACACCTCCTGTCCATTTTGCTGTGGTTATTTTGGAGATAGCGGTCTCACACATCTTTGCCTGAAGGATCATACCTTGATCCTTCTGATCTCAGCCTCCCTAGTAGCTAGGATTATAGGTGTGAGCCACCAATATCTGGCTTTTTTTTTTTTTTAAAGTAGGGGTACACTCTAAGGATTAAAAAGTATAATATTGTAAATATATAAGCCAATGGCATAGTCTTTATTATCATTGTCAAGTATTGTAGTCTGTACGTAATTTCTGGGTTACATTTTTATACAGCTGGCATCACAGTGGGCGTGATCACGTCACATCAGCACAAGCACATGACAAACGCATTGTCCTACCACTTTATGACAGCGGTGCCATCCCTAGTAACTTGGTACAGTTCTAACATGGGAACAATTTTTGTTCTCCTAATATTAGTTCTAGCCAGGTGTCTTACCAACCACTTCAGCATTTTTTTTAATTCTTTAAAAAAAAATTTTATTGTATAGGTTACAGAGTTGTTTATGGATCATAAGAATGAACTTGACCAGTGTAAATCTGACCTGCAAAATAAGACACAAGAACTTGAAACCACTCAGAAACATCTGGAAGAAACTAAAATACAGCTTGTTAAAGAAGAGTATGTCTCTTCAGCTTTGGAAAGTACTGAGGAGAAACTTCATGATGTTGCCAGCAAGGTTTGTCTTTTGTTATGTTTTACAGTTAGATTAAAGAAATGAAGGATGGGTAGAAGTAACTTTATTTGCTTAAGCATTAATTGTCAGATTTTACTTACTCACCCCGAATGATATTTCTGTCTATTTAAATAACACTGTTTTACTATTCCATCCATGTTTTTCTTACTAGTCATGATGACCTGAGAAAAACTACTCTTGGAGTTTTGAAAATAGAGCATGATTTTATATTTTGTGGACATTTAGAATAATGGTGCTGTGATGCTTTTTCTTTATGGTAATGATTGAAAGTAAATAGTCATTGAGAATGTAGTACCTTCTAATGGTACTGAAAGCATTAAATTTTTTAGTAGGTATACTTTTGAGGAGATGGTAAAGCATAATAGGAAAAACTTTTGTGAGCAAGCATAATTACTGAAATGAACTTGCAAAATCTGTTTTCCTTGTGTAGATGGCCAGGACAGAGGAATAAATATTCCTGGGCATCTGAGTAATTAATAAGATGGAGGAATTTTTTTTTTTTTTTTTTT